TGTATTTTCACGCGCTTAATAGCTTTCTGGAAGTAAGTGTACCATTATCCTTGGTAAACAATGCTTCGTTCTGGACACTTCCCAGTAATTCAGAAAAGCAAGATGAGCTATACGATCAGTTTAAAATAATCGGCAGCCGTGGCATACAATGTGAATCCGAAGCAATGGACAATGATGGTAATTTATATTGCAGTTTGATTAGTTCAAGTGCGTTGATCGCTTGGAAGGAGGACAGCGATTACGATTCAGATAATTTGAAGGTAAATAAGTATGAAAAATAAGAATAGTTGGATGCTCTTTCCTAATGCAAATATTTAAATGTACAATTTTTAATAATTACAGGTAGTCGCCTACAACCCAGAGAGGCTACGATTCGTCACAGGATTAAAGATTAACCGAAATAATCTTGAGGAAGATGAACTGTGGGCTTTGAGCAGTAATCCTGAGGTTAGTTACTATATATGTACATACATAAATACATATATTTATATGTACATATGTACATTAGACCGTGTCAGAAAAGAAAAAAGTCGCCGAACACTCCTAAGTCTACAGAACTTTTGCAAGTCAATTTCGAAAAAATATATATATGTATATTTCTTTACTGAACGTAAAAATCCATTGACTGGGGTTTGGGGTTTGGACCCATTTTAGTACTTACCCACCAGAGCCCTGTTCCCATAACGTACCACCCTAATGTCAGTAATTTAAAGCTAATTCCTTTGTTAAAGGAAATATGAAATTAACGATAATCTTAAATTTTTTAAATGAGAATTGACGTCGGTTTTGTTTTTTGCTAAAAAATGACTTGTTATAATATATGTATGTATACATATGACATTTTTTTGCCAAAAATGGTCTGGTTAGGTAGGTTAGGGTCGAGATATTTTGAAAACCCGTATTTATGCTCTGATTGGTTTCACTTTTCGCATATTTAGTTGAAACGTAGTAGGACATAGGTTTTCAAAAAATTAATCCGCTGGTGGCGCTGATGTCAAAATAAAAAGTACGTTAGACATAAAATGCATGTTTTCTTCCCGTTAAAAATTCTTTCAAGAACAAAATTAACAAAATTTTTTCAATGGAAATTTTAGTAACGTAACGCTAGCAAGAAAAGATTTTTATATTTCACAACCTGGAAAATTAACCTTAAAAATTTCCAATATTAGTACAAAAGCTTTTATACAAATAGTCTTGCCCAATGCACAGAGTTTTTCAATTTTTTAATCGAAGTGAAAATCCACTTCTGTTTTTTGTAACGTCACGCCAGCGCATAAGTTTACTAATATTTTTAAATCGCTAATACCAACAGTTGTAATTTTTTTTACTGAATAAGGGGTCATTTAATTGCTATGCAAATCTAGAAAAGCCTTTTTATATTTTGACTTTTTCAAATTTTTAACATTTTGTCATACGATTAGTTTGGAAATACCTCTCGGCAAAAAAAAATCGAAATTTCCTTAAAATTTTTTTTTATTCTCAGGGGGTAAGGTCTAATGTACATAGAAAAAAGTAAAACAAAACATTTCATATCCTGTTTTTCCCAAATCTTCTAGCTTTTTGTTGGCGCAAAAGTACAGACCGACGATATAAAATTCCAAATAATTGGTTGTCGTGTCAAAAATTTGCTGGAGAATGAGCCTTGCTCAGTGGTAATAAATCATTTACGGAGAGCGTGAATGGAAACTAAAATAATGTAACTCAGCGAAGAACAAATTACTTTCTTACATTTAAATAAATGAAGTGCTGAAATACATACTTGTGAATATTATTTTTAAAACTATGTAATCCCAGATACTACACAATTAAAAATGTATCAACCATAGGCGCTAAACATTTACTTACATTTTCGAAATAATGCACAAAAAAATGTACACAGAACTTTTACCTTATTTACCTCTAAGCAAAAGCTGGAGCAAACTTTTGTTATAATTTGTTGAAAAAACCTAAGGTAAATCCTCCCTTGCTCATATGATTTGCATGTGCTACGATTCGTAGCCTACGAAATAGCTTTTCCCATTTTCTGACGAACGTGTAATTTTGAGTTGTGTCACTTTTGAAGATCGTGTGCGAAATAAAGCAAAACAAAAAGTGATACAAATAAATGTTAAAAACTGTAAATGTAAAAATGTTATTACAATTTTAGTAACCCCCAAAAATTCCGCAATGTTTTCGAGAAAAATCATTTTCGTATGGATTTTCAATAGTTAATACAGAGAACGTTTATAAAAATGCGCCTTCCCATTTATATACGTTCTCTGACCAGAGCATAACAATGCGCGCGCCATCTAGCGGGACTACAGCTCATTCACAATAGTGATTGAAAAACGTCGCCGTTGAAATATTCAGCCAACGGCGGACAATAACCGATTTCGCCCAACAGCTGATTGCAAATGTCAAACGGCACTTAAAAAACACGCAAGTGTTTTATTTGTATTTAATTTTTTTAACATTCCAACGCATTGAAATTTAGCCAGCAGAAAATGACTATAACAAATTTACAACGCTGGCTTCTCTATATAGGACTTTTCGCAATACCCTATCTAGCTATAGTGGCTGGTTATCTGCGGGCGCCTGTGTTAACCAAGTGGGAATTGGAAATCCAATTGTTGCCGATTGTGCTACTGGTTTTGTTTGGAGTTAGTATACAAATTAGTATGTATGAAAAATTATGTGCTATAAATGTTATTTAATTATAGGCTTATGCAGCCACAGTTGTGCTCTATCGCACCTTTACATTCAACGACTGTCCACAAGCGGCCAAGGAGTTGCAGCAACAAATTGAAGAAGCGCGGAAGGATTTAAAAGAAAAAGGTTTTGTATTTCGCGACTGATGCATATTTGTAACTACTTTTATAAGCTGATTAACTTTCCAATCATATTAATTATTAAATATAATTGAGTTATATGTAAATAAATATATAATTATGTACTTACGTATGAATAATTGAAAAGGAAATTGAATTCTGTTTAGATGCATGCTGCGCGAGTTCAGTAAAACTTGTTTGGCATTCCATGAGTGTTGCTTTAGCGCTAAAGATTAAAATCAGGTAATTAGTGAGCTACTAAGTAGAAAAAATTAAGCTGTATTTCTCTTATAAAGGTTATTTATCAATAGAAAATGTATCGTACCGATGCGTTAACATACATTAGATGCGTTCGACAAGTCAAAAATTTTTAATAGTTTTCCAAATTTTTACTGGATGGCGTTCGATAACGACAAAAAATTATCCAACACACAAAAATTGAGAGAGCAAGCGTTCATTTTGATGCAAGAGAAGCGTTCATTTTGTACTGGCAAAATTTTACTCAGAAAAAATTATCCAACACGAAAACATATAATCACAAAACATATGGTTGCAATTTTTGTAAACAAACAAAATTGCATTTTCCGAGTTTTGGTATTTATATGCTTTTTGGCTGCCTGCTATGTGACTTACGGATATTTTAGATTTTTTGTTAGTTACGGCATATTGGTGGCAAACTATCGATGGCACTATCGAAAATTTTCCAAATTTAAAACACAAAAATTGTGAATGTGCATTGAATAAAGTGGCAATACTTTTATATAAAAGAATATCTCTGATCCAGTACTTTATGAACTTAAAGTTTTTACACGAACTTGCAGGAAGTTACAGGAAAAATGTTCGCGTACTCCAAAATCCTGTAAATGAGAGCGCTTTTTTGGAGAGTTGTGTAGAGAATGAAATTAGAAGATTTTACCCGAACTTTTTCTTCTGGTAAAATCATGAAAAGTATCAAGCGATAAGCTGTTTGACGTTTTTACAGGAAAAGTGCTTTTTTGTTCTAGTACTTTGCGGTTGTTGCTCAGTTTTTACTTTCAATTCAGAGAGTAATTTTGCTGTTTGACATGTTACCATGATAAAAACATAACAAGGTAGAACCGTTCTCTCAATTTGTCGGCTATGCTTTTTTTTTTTAAGTTTGCCAGCATTTTAAAATCATATAAAATTGAAAATAAAAAATTGAAATTGTTCGAAATTGTTGTTGCTTGAGATTGAAAATGAAAATGTGTGTGTGAGTTTGTGAGTAAATTTAAAAATTAAAATGTTTGGAAACGTCAAGAATTTTAAAAGTAACGTACTATATTTTTATCATGCATTTTACAAGATTTTGGACGAAAAGTATAGGATCAGAGCTAATACATGGCCTAACGTCATCAGAACGAATGTAGAGTAAAGCAGCTTTAATAGTAAACGAAAAAAGATCGCAACTAAAACCTAAAAAAGTCGGCATGCCATGTTTCCTATATCTTATATATAAATAGGCAATCATGTTTTCTTTACACCCCTTTTTCGGCTAACCATACCTCTAAGGTATAAACTATATATAAACGCCTCCTAAATGTATGCTTTAATATTGATACTGAATTAAAGAAATGTGCTAAGCAGCAGTTTAGGAATCAGATTTATGTAGACTAAGATTCATGCAAGGAAGAAGGTAAAGTTGAGTATGTAGAAGAAGAAAGTGATAAAGGCAAAGATTAAAATAACAGTAAAGAAACCTAAATATAAAGACAATGAGGAAGGGAAATTCAAATACCTGACCTAGTAACAATGGTTGGGTGAATATGTAAATGGAGATATACATAGATCAAGATAAAGGAAAATATAAAGATGAAGACGAAGACGAAGACGAAGATGAAAATGAAAATGAAGATGAAGATGAAGATGAAGATGAAGATGAAGATGA